ATGCCTGTGTAGCTAGAGACAGAGGTGCCAAGGTCCACCAAGGGGCCTCAGCCTAACCGGTGAGGAGAGGGAGGACGTCTGCTTTTCCTCAGAACCCTCTTTTCTGGATCATTGGATTGTAGATTTAGACCTGGAAGGGACCTTAGAGGCCATCTAGTTCAATTCCCCTCACTTTTATAGATGAGAAAATTGAGGTTTAGAGAATTCAATGACTTGTCCAAGGTCACACAGACAGTAAGGACTTTAAATCCACAATCCTCTCCACTGTACAGTTATTCAGTCAACAAACAGAGTGCCCACTGTATACAGAGCAGTGAAACAGATTCAAAGAGGATTGAACCAGATAGAGAACTAAAACTCCATGCCCTGCCTGCTTAGAACTTTACTGATTTAGTTGTGGGAAGGACCAGCATTCCAATATATATGTAACAAGTATGCATATGCAGCAAGTACAGGATACTCCCAGAAATACTATCTTTAGGATAAGAAAAGGCCTTTGGGGCTCATACAGTCCAACACCCTCATTGCACAAAGGGGGAAACTGAGACCCAGCCAGTGGAAGTGACTTGCCCAAGGTCACCCAGTGAATCAGTGGCAGAACCAGGACTAAAGCCCAGGTCTCCTGACCAATGCCCTGAGGGCATGGGGTAAAACACAGGCAGAACAGTGGTCGAATTAAGATGACTTGTAAACCTTAAAGCATCATCAAAATGTGAATAGTTGGTAATCAGGGAAGGCTTCTGGGAGGAAATAAGACTAGAACCAGTTCAATCTAATAAGCATTAATGCACTTAAGTGCCTGCTGTGTCAGGGCAGCCAGGTTGGCATCATAGTGCACAAAGCTCGAGCCTGCAGTCAGGAAGACTTGGGTTCAGATCCAGCCTCAGACACTTACTAGCTGTATGACCCTGGCTAAGTCATTTAACTCTGTTTGCCTCCATCTCCTCAAATGAACTAGAGAAGGAAATGGCAAACCACCCCAGTATCTTTGCCAAGAAAACCCCAAAAAAGGGATCACAAAGACATCAATAACAACAAAACCTGTGTCCAGTGACCGGAGCTAGATAGTAAGTCAGTTGACAAGCACTGATTGAGTACTTATTGTATACAGAATCCTGTACTAGATTCTGAGGGAGGCAGGCAAACGGGATAGAGAAATCAGTCCTTCAAAAAGCTTATGTTCTCCTAAAAGGGGAGGGGGCCTGATACTGTAGGTATATATTCATAAAACTAGGTAGGGATGATGAAGGAAGTAGTATCTGGGTGGAGCCTCAAGGTGAGAAGAAGTCTCTCTTCTAAGGTGAGATGGGAGTGCTTTCTGGGGATGAACAAATAGACAGGATATAAGGGCACCACGGAAAGCTTGCGGTGGGGTGGAGAAGTCGTATTCCAGGTAAGGGAAGGAGGAGGAGAAAAGGGAAGTCCAGGGAGGGGGTATGAGTTGGGCAATCAGGAAGGAAATCCCCACATTATACAGAAGAGGAAACTGAGGCCCTTTGAGGTTAAGTGGCTAAATTCAGCTTGGCCAAACTGGGGCAGAAAGAGCTGGGTGCTAAGTATTAAAGAGAAGAGATCAAAAAGTTTGGAGATACTCCAGAATGGCAGACCCCTTTAGCAGCTGGTGAACCTATGGGCCTATTGTCAGAACAATGTTGCCTACATTCATAATGGAAGGAAATTCTATATTTCAGTGAAAGGTGAATGCAAATAACGGGGAAATGTTCATAGACCTGCTGAAATCTAGCCATGTTCTCCTTGGGGGTCTATGTGCCCCCAGATTAAGAACCCCCTGCAAAGGGTAGATGCCCTGTACCCAAATGCTAGGCTGGAGGCAGTGTGGTGACAAGCACTCTGAGATGAGCTGTAAGTCAGGATGGCTGGAGTCTACTTTGGGTTTGACTACTAGACTGTTGGGTGGCTCCAGGGGAAGTCACTTCTCTCGTAATGATCGACAGAATAGACAGACAGGAAAAATAGATGATAGGAAGATGGATGGGGAGATGGGAAAATAGGTAATTAAATAGATGGATAGATAGGAAAATTAGAATAAATAGGGATGGGTGAATGGATAGACAGGGAAATAGATGATAAATAGATGGATATATAGGAAAATAAGAGTAGATAGGAAAATAAAGATAGTTAGGGATGGATGGATGGATGGATGGATGGATGGATGGATGGATAAATCAATATGGATGGGGAGATAGATATGAATAGATAGAAAGGCAGAAGGATAGATGAGTGGATGGATAGAAACAGATGATATAAGGGGCAGTTTGGTGATGCAATAGAGAGAGCACCAGCCCTGGAGTCAAGAGGACCTGAGTTCAGTTCTGGCCTCAGGCACATAATACTAGCTATGTGACCCTGGGCAAGTCATTTAATCCCAATTGTCTCATAAAAAAAAGAAGAAAGAAATAGATGAGGTAGATATCTTTCTACTATCTATAAATATCTATTTACTATCAATAGATACTATCTATCTAGATGATGGAGAGATGGGTAGATTGATTGACAGATAAAATATTTAGTAAACTGGAGATACTTACTACAAGCAAGTCACACTGCTCCTGTCCTCAAGGAGCTTTCATTGGAATGGGGAAGACTATAAAGGGACCATAAGGCCCCTTTCATGCTGAAGCCTTATCTCCCAGATGTGTTTTCTTGGGGGTAGGGAGAAGGGTAAAAATTTAGGGAGAACTCCCATTTTACCGACGAGCCAACTGAGGTTCACAGGGGCAAAGTAATTTTTCTCCTAGAAGGGAGAAAAGAGCCTCCAGTCCCATCCCCTCCTCTCCTCCCCTCTTCCCTTCTCCCCACTGGAAGCTGAGATTTTGACAAGACTTCCTCAGGAGAAGCAGAGCAGGGTGAGGGAAAGGTCTGCTCACAGAGTGCACAGGGGCCCCAGCTACTCGGCCTGCAGTTGGCCAGGAGAGTTGATAGGGCTCAGCCGATGAGTAACTGAGCTGTTCAATCATTGCAAAGGCAATTAGAGGGAGAGGAACCATAGAATCAGCAGAATAACCCCCACCCTGTGGATAGAAGACAAGACAAGAGTCTGGGGGGAGGTGGAGAATGGGGCTGGGTTCAAAGCAGCCTGGGGTCTTCCCCAGAGGACCATGGGCACATGTGGGGATAAGGAGGAGAAAGCGGGTGAGTCGGCCTCTTCCCAGGCTAGGGAGGGGACGCTGGGGGACCAAGTCTGCCCACATGGCCTGGTTCAACTGGCCCTGACTTGGATTGAGGAGAATGAGTGCCCCCCCATGCCAGCTCCACTTTGCCCTCGATTCCCCAACCCCACCCAGCTCTATTGCCCAGCAGGAGGGTCAGGTGGTTTGGCAGGGGGACAAACTGCACTTTTCTTCTGCCAAAAAAGGGCCTGGCAGGGAGGGGACTGAGTCCCTATTGGGCAGCAGCTATCTCACAGGATTAGAAGCTCTGAAGTATTCAAGGTGTTTCTTCTCCCCACCCCAATTACCCACCACCACAGAAACACTGAGCAAACTGGACAAGCAGTCCCATCTGCTGAGGAATTATTCCTCTCCCCAGCCCCACCCCCTCCCATCCTTTAGGTTTCTTACCCAGCCAGCTCACTCCTCTCCTTCCCATTGCTGCCGCACCCCTCCCCACCATGACAGGCGCTCCTGGACTATGGCTGTAAGTAGTGTCCTGGGGACAAAAACTTTGGAGAGTGTGGCACACACACCAGGGTGGCAGGAGGTGCCCTTGTTGCTATTACATCGATTTAGTCTGCGGTTTCTTGGCAGAGATACTGCACTGGTGTGTCATTTCCTTCTCTAGCTCATTATGCAGATAAGAAACTGAGGCAAACTGGGTTAAGTGACTTGCCCAGAGTCACACAACCAGTAGTGTCCGAGGCTGGATTTGAACTTAGGTCCTGACTTCAGGGCTGGTCGATACTTTTGCTAATACTTTCTGGCTATCCCTCCCAAATGACCTTAGACTGTATACAGCCTTAGATTTCTCCAGTTTCTTGATACTGTATTCTGCTTCCCCCTCCCCAAACCTTCAGTAGTGCTGACTCTCCCTAATCATCAGCCCCCACCTCACCCAGCCTCAGGTCTTGTCTTCTCCCCCCAGGGTGCTCCCTGCCTCTGCCTTCTGCCCTCAGGATGCCCCGTCCCTGTAGCTCTTTCCCTTCCATTTGCTGCCCCTCCTCACAATATGACCCCTGCTTTCTCCTCCTTCAGCCTTGCTCCCATCCCCCCTGCCCAGGATCCTTCTTTCCTGAGAAGTCAAACTAAATTGATGAATATTTATCAATCACCATTGAATAACACATTCAGGCCTGGATGCTTCAGCTGGAAAAGGGATATCTTCCTCTGTTAGGATGTAACAATGGATGGGTGGATGGGTGGATGGATGGGTGGATGGATGGGTGGATGGATGGATGGATGGATGGATGGATGGATGGGTGGATGGATGGGTGGATGGATGGGTGAATGGATGGATGGGTGGATGGATGGGTGGATGGATGAATGGGTGGATGGATGGGTGGATGGATGGGTGGATGGATGAATGGATGGATGGATGGATGGATGGGTGGATGGATGGGTGGATGGATGGGTGGATGGATGGGTGAATGGATGGATGGGTGGATGGATGGGTGGATGGATGGGTGAGTGGATTCCCCATCCACACTGGGAGACCTATTTTTTGCTTCCATCTGCTCACCAGAACTCAATCTTTCCCCTTTTCCTCAACTCTCCAAATCCTCAAAGTTGGTTCTTTCCTCTAAATCTCTACTCTACTCAAAAGACCTTGTTACCAGTTTTAAGCAGCAAGAATCCATCCTCCTCACATATTTCTAAGCATGAAGACTAGAGGAAAGTCATGCCATGAGCTCCAGAAGGGGCCATCTTATAGAAGGAAAAGCAAGGATAGATGGTTCATTAGGGGAATTTTTTGGTTGGGAGGTGGCACAGGACAGCAAAAGTGTCTCTCTGGCCCCTGAACCCTCTCTCTACTCCTGCCCCTAGGAATCCAAATGTGCCTACGTTATCATCCTCATGGCACTCTTGTGGTGCACGGAGACCCTGCCACTGGCGGTCACTGCCTTTTTCCCCCTCATCCTCTTCCCCATGATGGCCATCATGGATGCATCAGAGGTGAGTCTCTCTCCTCACTCCCACATCTCCCTGCCCATCCAAACTTGCACTTCCCGAGAGGGGTTCGGGGGAGAGTGGGAGTCTCAGAAAGGGTTGGGTGGATAACACTACTGGATAAGAAGCAATCACAAACCTTTAAGAATGTTCAATATTTTTAAAAAATACTTGGGATGTGCACTCCTTTGTTCCTGAGAGGTTGTTATTATTCCCATTTTTCAAATGACCAAACTGAGGTTCACGGAGCCAAAGGGACTTGCCCAAGATCACTCAATTTGATGACTCAGGATTCACACAGGGCATAGTACTGAAACTGTACATTTGTATTCAGTACAAAAAATATTGTATTTGGAGAGAGGAGAAAGTATTCTAGCCCCTTCACCCAACTCCCCACCACATACATACACCATCACCACCTGCCATTTAATTGCTGTACGATCTTGGGAAAGTCATTTAACTTCTCTGGGCCTAGGTAACCGCATCTGTAAAATGGACATAATGACAATTTCTTTGCCTAAAAGCAGGGGGCCAGAGATGTCCTCTGGGAGTCCCTCTTAGCTTTAAGATCAATGACTCAATGACAAGTAGCCCAGGGCTTTCTATTACAACCTTGCAGATAAAGGATTGGGCCAGTAGCCAGCCTTTGTCTTTTGGGAATGGGAGAGGAGACCCCTGTTAACTGAGATGCCTCCATGTGGCTGGAAAGCACTTGAAATAAGAGAGCCCTGTGTTCCAGTTACTCAGTTACTTACTATCTGGATGACCACTGGCAAATCACTTAACCTCTTCTGAGATTCATCCATGAAATGGCAATATTATCAACCCTGAGGTGCTACATAAGTAGCAGTTGTTATTAGCCTCAGGACCTACTTGGATTATGATGACATCCAGAAAAAACTGTCACTCTCTCCTTTCCCAAATTGCCAGCAGCCAGTGTGATGTGTGGCAGAGCGGTGAAGGAAAAAGGGGAAGGGGAACTGGAGAAAGAAAAGTCGGGCTAGGCGAGTCTGAGACTGATGCTCATAAGACTGATTTATTTTCAGAGGTTACAAGATTATATAGAAAACAGCTTTGTACCATGAGAAATGATCTACAAGCACTAATTGATAACATAAACAATCTAAGCAGTTAAAGATCCTCATTTTCTCATGAGAAAGTAGTTTTAATGCCAAATTTCTTTTTGTTTTTGTTTTTGTTTTTTCTAGGCAGTTGGGGTTAAGTGACTTGCCCAGGGTCACACAGCTAGTAAGTGCCAAGTGTTTGGTCTGAGGCCGGATTTGAATTCAGGTCCTCCCGATTTCAGGGCCGGTGCTGTATCCACTGCGCCACCTAGCTGCCCCCACAAATTTCATATCTATTGTTTCCCTGCCCAGTTCTTAGTATTCTCTGCCCGAATCAGCCACCTAGTCTCAAGGCTGGGCATGAGTAAGAACTTAGAATCAACAAACCATAGCAAACAGAGCTAGGGCAAGAGTCATGGGAGCGTTTATCCCGAGGCAAGCCTCTATACCGTAAGTACTGACCCCTAAAGTCCATAAGGACTTAGAGATTTTCCATAATGACCCGGCCTCCCACATCTTCCCCCTTTTGTATTTGTTAATTTAAGTTTGTGCAATTGACTCATTATTGGTTTGATGGTAACGTTTATGAATCTTAAAAATAATGGGAAACGAAAACAAGAACAAATTAGGCCAGTGCCATAGAGGAGCATATGCAAAAGCAAGGATATACTTGAAAAGGGTGAAAGTTGGTGTAATGTAGACAAGATAATATTTGCTTTTTTATTGGCGTCAATCCCAAGACAGGGACTATTTTCAATGTTGGAAGTAATACCATGAAGGGTATTAATATTGAGGGTAATATTAGAATTGTGCCAGGCTCCCAATAGGCAAGCACATATCTTAACCCATGAGATATTAGGATCTGAAGCATTATAGGGTAGCGGAGTAACACAAATATATGAATATCTGTAATCACATCGCAAGAGCAACCTTGTTTTCAAGGTTTCTAACTCATCTCCTAAATAGAATACTGATTGCTCTAATAAATTGACTTTATACAACATATCTCTTGTTACATTTTAAGTGCTAGGCTTATATTTTTTTGCTAAGTCATTTACAAAGTGTGCAGTTTGAATTTCAGATTGTAGCACAATAAATGAAACAGTAGTAGATACAATAAGAGAAGCAACAGTGGTTAAACCAGTAATAAGGAGACCAATAAATTGTTTTGATTGACTTAGGGAGGAAGTAATAATTTGAGGGTCATGTTCGCCAGAGTTCTGGAACTAATCATGTGAGATGTTAGTAGGGAAAATAGCAAATGATGATTATTCTACCAAAAGTACAACATAGTCATTATTATCAATACATTGTTTGAGAGTACAATTGACACAAGTAACATTCTATTCAAAAGTAGTATTAGATTGAGTAAAATTTACATATTCATTAGATAAACTGGTTTTAAAAAATGATGTAACAAGAAAAAGACAGGGTTCAGTATTGTTGCTAATTTTTTTTGTAAAACATATAGGTGTCCTAAATGCTAGAGATCTGAGGGTAACTGTAACATTGGCTCTGTCCTGGAGGAAGGGGTATTCGTGGCCTTCGAATATGTGAGTGCTATTAGTATATGTAGTTCCCAATTTGTCCATATATGTGAGGGGTCCCAACCAGGGTGGAAAAGGAAAATAAGTCCAGTGCTGAGCACTCTGTACATTACACACTTGAGCAGAAAGTAAAGCTACTGTTGCTAAAACTCTACAAGTTCAGGAGTCTTCCATCACTCAATGAGAGGGAGCTTTCACTTGACCCCATGTGGGAAGGTGACTCTTCACTGTAGATTGGCTCCTTATGCCCTTTCCCCAAATCATCATACTTTGCATTTGAGCTGTGAGTTGTGGTACACGCTCTGACATTTTTCTCCAATATCCAGACAGGTTTATCAAAGTTTTCTGAAAAAATACAAGCATACCCTCGTCCCCTCATTAGTAATGGATCCAGTAATGGCTCCGGGCCTCTGGATGTTTATTTTTCTCAGACGTTTTTGGCTGGAGTATACCCATCTTTATTTTTAAAAATTAATAGCCAATTGTTGATGAGGGGTAATAGCCCAGATACCCCCTTTTTTGTTAAAGAAGAATAGGTTTAATATCTTTGGTTTTAATTATATAGCTTAATAAAAAGTTAAGTGTCAGCATTTTGGTGAAACTGGGAATGAGAATTAATAGCTTGCTGTATGGTAGGGGTTAAAAGTGTTGGATAGAATTATAGTTGAGAATCAATAATGGCATTACTTTCAGTAAGAGGTTTAGAAAAATATTTTGAAGAAGGAGAATCAGAGCACAAAGTTCTGCCTCCTGGGCAAAGGGAAAGGAAGTTTGAATTACCTTGTGACAATGTTGAAAAACGTAATAACCAGCCTTTTCACTACCTAAGCTGTCAGTAAAAGCAGTGAGCACTTGGGGACAGGGGCTATGGGAGGAAGAAGCATTCTCCTCCAAGCTCCAAAGGGAAGAGTTTGCCAAAGGTGAATCTTATTTGGAAACTATATTGACTCTGCATTGGGTGCTGAAAGAATGGGGTTAGATCTAACAATTTTGGAAATACCCATGAATAATTAGTAAAAAACGTTAATATCCTAAGAGATGGTAAGTGATTATCAATATGGCCAGAAAAAATAGTAATAGCAACTTGCCAATCCTCTGAAGAGGAAACAAGAGTGTCTATTTGTTTTTTATTATAAGGTTGATGAATAACTGAAAGTAAATTTCCTGTAAGTTGAAGATATCTTTTATGAATTTTTATTATTAAATAAGCTACCATTGTAGGATAAGGAGTTATAGAAGACTGAAATAAAACTCCTGTAAGGGACACTGGAGTACTAAGAATGGCACCTTGTACCTCTTCATTTAAAGAAATACGGATGAGTTGAGTTTCAGAAATTTTCTGTTCAACTCAATGAAGTTCCTTTTTTGCCTCAGGAGTTAATGTCCTAGGGGAATTTAGATCAGGATCTTCTCTAAAGTGTAAAAAAGAGATTAGCCAATGGTTCTGTAGTAATTTGGAGTGCTGGTCAAAGCCAATGAATGTATCCTAAAAGTTTTTGAAAATCATTAAGTGTTTTAAGGCGTAAGTGTACTTTTTGTGGCTTCACTGTTGTTTTGGTGACAATATGACCTAGGTAGGAAAATGGAGATTTTTCTTGAACTTTTTCTTAAGCCCATATTCCTGTAAAGCTAATTAAAGTTGAGGTAATAAATGTGTGAGTTCATTTTTAGTGGAACAGCTACAAAATATGCCATCCATATAGTGTATTATTTTTGTGTTGGGAAATTTTTTCCTAATTGGTTGTATAGCTTTATTAACAAAATTTTGATACATTGTAAGGCTGTTTTTCATGCCTTGAGGAAGGACTTTCTATTGAAACCTGATTGCAGGTTGTTCTACATTAACACTGGGTATTGTAAAAGCAAAGCAACAGTTGTCAGCTTCTTGCAATAGAATAGTAAAAAAGCAATCTTTTAAATCAATAACTATCAAAGGCCAGGAAACAGGAATCATGGTGGGTGTAGGGAGACTGGATTGAAGGGTCCCCATAGTCATTATAGTGTTATTAATAGCTCGGAGGTCATGAAGCATCCTCCATTTCTCTACTTTTTTTTAATGATAAAAACAGGTGAATTCTAAGGACTTGTAGAGAGTTCTATATGTCCTTTTAAAAGTTGTTGTTCAACTAATTATTTTAATGCAAAAAGCTTCTTTTTTGTCAAAAGCCACTGTTCCACCCAAACAGATTTATCAGATTTACATTGCATTTTATCAGCTTTATGGATAGGAGAAGCACAAACAGCAGCCAGAATAAATTTTGGGAGGGGGGCAGGAGAAAATAACAGTTCCCATTTGAGGTAAAATATCGCGCCCCCGCAAATTAAGTGGAACTAATTGGGTTTCAGCTATCTTTTATTCTACTAGTTTAAATTCATCTTAGTGAGGTATCTGAGGGTGGTAAAAAGATTGAATAATTGATTAGTGGTGATCTTCGAGGCAGGCTAAAGCTAATTAATATCTTTAAGAAATTTTTTTGAAAATTATTATGAGTTGTTAAGGAATCTTGACTAATTTGTAATATTTTGGGGGTCTAATTGTAGACTGTGAAACAATATATCTAAAGTAAGCAAAGGGTGATTTCTTTTGTACCTTTTCAGGGGCAATTATAAATCTATGAGATTGAAAGGCTTGTTAAAGCTTAGGCATTAATAAGAAGAGTTGCTAGTAGTAGAACAACTGCAAAGTATATTATCCATATAATGAATTATTTTTGTCTGAGAATTTCTCTGCCTAACAGGTTTGGTAGTGTTATGAACAAAATTTTGGCACATGGTGGGAAACATTCTTTCTCAAATGAACACAATGGGGAAATTTCAAATACTGATTTAATGGAGACAACTATACCCAAATTCAAACTGAAAACAAAATTAGTTATAGTCCTAAGAGTCTTTTATCTCAAACAGCAAGTTTCACTAATCATAGTTTAAAGCCAGATTCAGTTAATTTTATTCTCATAGAGTTGTAATAAGTAATAAAGATTTAGTAGGACTCACATATGAAAGAGATTTCACTTAACATCCTTTTTTCTCAAATTTAAACTTGTCCTGGTGTGAAAGTCAATTATTAGAAATCATTTCTATCTATTGTACATAAAGTTGCAACTTCTCAGTAAGCCAAATTAATTGTTTAGGAACTCTATAATGCAAACAAGTTCTTTTCTCAGGGCAGAATGACCTTGCCCACACAGATGGTTGCTAGGAGCCTTTGGCAAGCTTACAAAACAAAGGGAATTGTCTTGTGCCCCTCCTTTTCACTCATAAGTAATTAAAAATTCTAGGTTTTAACTTTAAACAGTAACTTAATAACTTAATTAACAATCTGGTAATTTTCATAAGTGATAGTCAAATTATTTTAGCTATAAGCTGTTTTTTAATTACAGGTCAAGATGGAAATACCTGATTTTCTAATTGACAGTTACAAAACATTATAAGAAAAGTTTAGCAGGGCTTTATAAAATAATTTAAATATTTTACCACAATTTTCCACTGTCCTTCAGTTTCTTTTAGTTCACATTTTAATAACATCCAAATTATTAAAAATTGCTTGACATAACAATACAAAAGTTTGCCAATTGGAAATAATACTAGATTTTTAAAACTTGAAATAAACACATTACCAATTAGAATGAACTAAAGTATCTTTTGGTTGTGTTCCAATACATAAAAACTTTTCTTTTTAATCTGAGGGGAAAAATTCGCCCTCCTTTCCTCTATCTCTTTCTCTCTCCCACACCCCAGCCCCGGCCAAGTTGGGCGCCACAACCCGACCAAAGCTGACGGGAAGAGAAAATTTTCCAACAACTTATCTTTCTTATCTGTCACTTCACACCCAAAAACTTGGCCAGAGCTTAGAATGCAAAGTGAGAGAGAAAAAACATTTTCCAACAATTCTTTAAAAGTTCCCAAATCTTTTGCTCTCAAACTCTCTGTTCACACTGTTCATGAAAACAGATTATGCTTTTCTTTCTACCATACTTTTCTCATTTCTGCATGCTTAAACTTTCTTTGCCTTTCACCAATCATATAACCTAAATAATAAAATATTTTTCTCTCCTTCTCTCTCCCATCCACCCGCTCCTGGGAGGCGGCTGGTATTAGGGAGGGAGAAGGGGAGACAGAAAACAGCATTCCCCTGGAATGCTATTCTTGCTACTTAATTGCAAAGGTTATCAGATTACACACGGGGACACATCAATCATACCACACAGATGAACACAGGACAAATACATAAAAAATATGACAGGGAAAATCCAAAAGCTCAGAGGGGTTTGCTAGAAATTCCTTGCACAAATCAAATAATATTCATTTTTAATTTTATTTTTTCTTTTCATGATTTTCCAGATGTTATGAAAAACAGGGAAAATCTTCCTTAAGGTCTTGGAGAATGAATTTTCTCCAGGGAGAACATACTTTAACCAAATGAGAGGAAAGAAAGCTTGAAGTTGTAGTTCTCTATTTTTAAACTGAATCTGACTCATTTTAAAGGAAAGCAGAGAAATCCCTGAATAAGCCTAGTGTCGTGTTTCTTTCAACACGACTACATCCCCTTACCTCTTCCCATAATTGTAGTGGAGGTCTGATTCGGTAAGGTGCCGCTGTGTCTCTCTTAACTTCTTCTACTCCCCCGGGGTCTACAACTTTCCCATCCAAGGATCGCGAGTCCCTGTTCCGGCGCCAACTGCCAGCAGCCAGCGTGATGTGACAGAGTGGTGAAGGAAAAAGGGGAAGGGGAACTGGAGAAAGAAAAGTCGGGCTAGGCGAGTCTGAGACTGATGCTCATAAGACTGATTTATTTTCAGAGGTTACAAGATTATATAGAAAACAGCTTTGTACCATGAGAAATGATCTACAAGTGCTAATTGATAACATAAACAATCTAAGCAGCTACAGATCCTCATTTTCTCATGAGAAAGTAGTTTTAATGCCAAATTTCATATCTATTGTTTCCCTGCCCAGTTCTTAGTATTGTCTGCCCGAGTCAGCCACCTAGTCTCAAGGCTGGGCATGAGTAAGAACTTAGAATCAACAAACCGTAACAAACAGAGTTAGGGCAAGAGTCATGGGAGCGTTTATCCCGAGGCAAGCCTCTATACGTACTGACCCATAAAGTCTATAAGGACTTGAAAGATTTTCCATAAGGAATCGGCCTCCCACAACAAACCATCCCTCAGTGTCTTTCTCCCTCCCCATCCCTAGGCTAGAGGAAAGTCCGTGAAGGGTTTGACTAGGGAGGGCATTTTTATTGCTCTTCATAATTGAGTTTTCAAGGCTGAGTTGGTACAATTTCAAATGCCCATAGAGACTCTGAAAAAAAAAATTCCCTCTAAACATTTTGTACTCTAACCCCAAATAGTCAGATGACATCATAATACTCATGTTTCCTGATTCTTGACATTTTCTCAAGTTTATTTGGCCATGGAAATCAATGGGGCTTGCAACTTGCTGACAGAACCTATACATCTGAATAGGGGATGAAGGGACAGAGTGGTTAGGGCAGGAAATGTCTCAGGGATAACAGGATGGGATGGGGGACAGGGAGCAAGAAATATTGAAGCTGAAAAGGAGAAAGTGACTTTGCTATACACAGAATTCCATGTTTACTGTTTTAGAAGGGAAAGTATAATGGTCATTGATTTTGCTCATGGAAGCCCTATTCAACAGATGAAGAACATCAAGATTCCACAAGAATTAGAGGCTTTTTGGGTGGGAGGATGTGCAATAGGGTCATTGGTTTGGTTACTTTGAAGATCGTCCCGTTTTATGGAAGCTGGGCAGAACCCTTTGCAATTTGACAGAAATGAGATTAATGAAGCTGGTCTTTGGCTCATAGGATCACTGATTAAAGACTGGAGGAGGCCTTAGATGTCACTAGACCAGTGATACCGGTGGTATCAGACTCAAATAGAAATTGGGGCCACCAATGAGTGTATGAGGATCCCTGTGGGCCACATATTAGCTTAGTTTTACAATGTAGCGTTACCTGTTTTTTATTGTGTTTTGCTTTGTTTCTGTTCAATGTTTCCCAATTATATTTTAATCTGATTGGGGAGGGCCCTCAAGACTAGGGGCCTTTGGTCAGCAGGTGTTTGACACTTCTGGCTAAGTCTACCCTACCCTCCCATTTTACAGATGTGAGTGAAGTAACTTGCCTAAATCCACACAGCTTATTTGTACATGTCAAGCTCTGGCCCAAATTGACTTGATATATGAAGCTAACTCTCAAATCTCTCCTCTCTTTGGGAGAAGCACAAATCTAAAGCAATGATTAATCAGAAAATTATTCTCATTGGCTTTGGGATGCATTATGATATTTGCTTATTCATCTCCTCATTGTGTCTTTCATAAGATTTAAATTTAATATTTAAATATCTGAGTTCAATGAGTACATAGAACCATTCCTGGGGCAAGGGGAACCCAGCCTGAAATTTCACCTTGGATAATCCACAGAATTGAGGGTCAGACATGTTTGAAACTACAAGGCTGCTATGACCCCCAAGCCTATAGTTATCCTGATAGTTAAGGGGTGGGGGGGTGGAAAGAGTCTTCGCCCTTTCTGTGCCCTGAACCCATTTGGCAGCAAACTGGTGAAGCCAGGGTTTTATAGAGCCCTTCTCAGAATTATATTAAGTGACACAAAATAAAATACGCAGGATTACAAAGGAAACCAGTTAGATTGAAATACTGCTGTTGACATATTAAAATACAGATTCATGAGTTGCAGTCTAAGAAGCCCTCACTAAGAATGGGGCAGGGGTTAGTGCCCACTTTGCCTCTCACTCTCCTCTCTCCCCCGGGGGCTTGGCACCAGGTTTCCATCGAGTACTTCAGAGACACCAACGTCCTCTTCCTCGGGGGCCTCCTGATGGCAGTAGCTGTTGAACACTGGAACCTGCATAAGCGAATCGCTCTCCGGGTCCTCCTCCTCATTGGCGTGAGGCCAGCATTGTGAGTCCAGAAAAATGCCACAACCCAGGAGGAGCAGAATCTGGGCGGTTAACACAGCAGGAACTGAGGTGGGGAGGGTGGATGCAGGACACGGGATCATCCCCTGGTCTTCACGTGTTTTTGAAAGAGGCAGGGGATTACTATGGATAGGGTGCTTGATTTGAAGTCAGGAAGACCTAGGTTTAAATACCACCTCTGGTGCTGACTAGCTGTTTGTCCCTGGCAAATCACTTAAACTCTGCCTCAGTCTCTTCATCTGTAAAACAAGGAGGTAGGACTCTGTGGGCTCTAATGACCCTTCTAGTCTTAGGTTCTATGATGCCCATGCTCCACCCCCATCATTTGCCAGGAGTCTGGCATGCCTGGAAGAAGGGACAGACAGAAAGACAGAGACAGAGAGATATTAAAGTGTCAGTGCTTCCCTCATCTCTTACTGGAAAGAAGAGAAATTTATTTTATTGCTCAGTTGTGTCTGACTCTTCATGACCCCATTTTGGAATTTTCTTGGCAGAGATACTAGAGTGGTTTGCCATTTCCTTCTCTAGTTCATTTTACAGATGAGGAAACTGAGGCAAATAGGGTTTAGTGACTTGCCCAGGGTCACACAGCTAATAAATGTCTGAGTACAGATTTGAGCTCATGAAGATAAGTCTTCCTGATTCCAAGCCCAGTGCTCCATCCACCGCATCACCTGGCTTCCTTGATGCAGTAGACATTTAATGCTTATTGAATTGAAATCATTCTAACCTCATTTCCTCCCTTTCCTTCCTAGAGATTATATATGTATGTGTCCATGTATATATATATATACATATATATGTATATATATATATATGTATACATATATATATACACATATATATATACACACATTTATGTGTGCATATATACATATATAGCTTTTTTTATAATTCTGCAGGAATGGTCTAGGGGTGTCAGGCAGGCAGGGAGTACTGCTGTATATGGCAGAGGGAATTGCAAGCCATCCTGGGAGTAGTGAGTTGCAGGGTGGGGAAGGAGTGTCAGGGCTTGGTGGATGAGTGCTTCAGTGGGAGCTCAGACAGTGAGATGGTGCCCCAGTAACCCCTTGCATCTCCTTCCTTTGTTGGTCTTTGTGGTATGTGAAGGAGATGGGGTCTGCTTGGGGGTGGGTTTGTGGCCTGGCTGTGTGCACTCCTACACGTAACTTATACCCATGGGGCATGAGCAATGGTGAGAACTCTAGGGTTAATGCCAGCTAGTCCAGATTTCCTGCATCTGGGGCTGGGCTGAGCTTGCCCCTGGGTTTCTGTCTTCCAAAGGAGGGGAGGGGCCCAGGCAATCTAATACCATGCCTCCCCCTAGCTTGTTCCTGGGCTTCATGGCCGTCACGGCCTTCCTCTCCATGTGGATCAGCAACACGGCCACCACGGCCATGATGGTGCCCATCGCCAGTGCCGTCCTGGAGCAGATGCACAGAACCCCAGAGCAGAAGGACGGGGAGGCGGGCAGTGTTAACATCTCCTTTGAGCTCCAGGAGCCTAATTACCCTGTCACTGAGAAAGAACCTCAGAAGCTGTGTGAGAAGGGTAAGAAAAGCTCTTGGCCCCTTCCTGGTAGTGGCCTTGGCTCTGGGAGGAAAGGAGGACACAGGAACATACACGATGATCCCTAGAAGCCAGAGGAAGACTTCCCAAGACTGTCCAAGAGAAGAACAGCCAGTGTAGCCCTCAGAAAAAGGAGTTGTGAAGAAGCTGGGGAGGGGAGGTGGGAGACCCGCCATGTAGACCCAGTGTGGCGCTTACAAGCTCTGGGACATTGGACCTCTGTAAGGTAAAGGTTGGGCTCTAGTTCTCTAAGGTCCATCCACTCTAAATCTATGATCCTAAGGTCATTCTATCAAGTCCTTCCGAAGTATTCTATGATATGGAATCAAAGTAGAACCCTCCTGAGCTAGGAGCCCTCAGCTTGGCTTTAAGGGCAGAGAAGGAAGAGAAGCCCACCTCCTCCCACAGGGGTCCATTGGGCAATGCTCTCCACCAGGCTAATGGGCCCATCCTTATGTAGCAGGTGAAAGATGAAATCACTGAGGAAACAAAGGTTCGGTCTCCAGAGCACATCGATTTATTAAGCAATGCATGCCAGTTGCCAAACAGAGTGGGACCAGACCTCCTCAGTTTAGGTCTGGACCCCAAATACAGGGGGAGATGTTATTTTATACATTATGTTTTACATACAATATATTGTATACATTAAAAACAATTAAATAAGACTAATTAAAAGGAAATAATACAACATTAGGCAATCTGATTTCTAATTGTAGGAAAGATTGGGGACTTTCCAAATTGAGAGGGAGAAAGATAACAGGTGCAATTTTCTGAATTCAGAAAAAGAGGTGTTCCACTCCCCTCAAGTGTCTATAAACAATCAAAGGAACATGGAAACCATAACTGACTGATCAGTCCAGGGCTAGTTTTCAAATGAGACGTCTGGGTGACCTAAGATGTACAACTGTGAAAAAATTCCTTGTGTCAATCTTTGGAAATGCCCAAATTTCTGGTCAGTATAACCCAGGTTAAGGGTCTCTAAGCACCTACCAGAGGTGGTCCAGTTCCCCAGACATGCAGGGCTATGTTCAAACAATACGAGTTTTCTCCCAATCAAATAAAGTTTTGTCACAGTACAGAAGCTGAATTAAACCCATAATTGAATAGAAAGGGAACTGAGCTAGCTCCAGAATTGAGTCTCAAGATGAGTCAATGTGGTTCACTCACTTCCCACCATTAACCACTTGCTGTCCTAACCCCCTTAATGCCCTCACTTAAGAGGCAGCTAGGGATCCCTAAACAAATCTCAAACCACTTTTCTTCCTTCCCCTTGAAAAGGCCAATAGGGCCCCTCCCTTCTATTACATGCTGGAAGATCTTGGCAAGTATCTCCTCTTACTAAACTTATTACTTTACAGCAAAGGAAACTGAGGCTTAGAAAAATATGCCCTTTGCCAAGTCGTCTCTCAACTCCTAGGTCTCTTCTCTCTTACCTCAGCCATGCTGACCCCCTTCCTTCTCCTCCACCCCACAGATAGCAGCCCTGTCCCGCCATCAGTGCCACCGGATCACCATCGGAAGGAGAGAGAGCACCTCAAACTCTCCCAGGGCTTGAGCCTCAGTGTCTGCTATGCTGCCAGCATTGGGGGCATGGCCACACTGACAGGCACCGCTCCCAACCTCGTGTTACAGGGACAAGTCAACTCGTGAGTATGGGGCCCCAGGCACCAACCCCTCCAGGGCACTCTTGTGCTGAGATCTCCTTGTGGGGCCAACAACACTCATCTAAGGACAAGGCTATGTTAAATGGCCAGTCCTCCCAGCTCTATGATACACAATGTTCTATATTCTCGGGTCCCTCTCAGCTCTGATATTCAATGTTCTACATTCTAAGAACTTGTCCAGCTCTCATACTCCTGTGTTCTTTGTTCTAAGCTCCTTTCCACCTCTGATATTTGATGTTCCAAGTCCAAGTGTGTCTCCCATCTCCGATGCTCATGGCTCTATCTCCCAATGTCCTTCCCAGCTCCAATCCTCGGCATTCTTTGGGCTAAGGTCCTTTCCACTTCTGGTGCTCCCTCCCGTCTCTGTTAATTGGTGTCCTCTGTCTAACACTCAGTATTCTACATTCTAAGATCTTTTCCAGCCCTGGAAAATGAGGGAGCTGCATTAGATTCTAAATATGGAGCCCATAAACCAGGGTCTATAGATAGATTTCAAGAAAGAAGATAAGAAAAAAAATTCCATCTTTATTTTCACTAACATCAAACTAGGATTTTACATTTCTTTCAATTATTTAAAAAATCATGTTCTGAAAAGGAGCCCACATTCTTCCCCCAGGCTGCCAAAACTTTGTTGTGGTCTTAACAAGATGGTCTCTGAGGTTCCTTCTGGTTCTGGTTCTATGATCCTATGACCTCTTATGTTCTGTGTTCTGAGGTGCCTCCTAGGTCTGATAGTTGACATTTCCTAGCCCCTGCCACATTCCCTGTCCAGTCTTCCTTCCTACAGCCCCACACCCTTCATGCCCTCTACAATCAAGAATGAAAAGAGACCTTGGGAGATAGAGCAATGAGTAGCAGAGACAGAAGAGACTCTGGAACCTGGAACATTGAATAGCAGAGGTTAAAAGGACAAAGGACCAGTGAGATTTCCCCAAATCCCTTATTTCATCTCTTCTCTCCATGCATTTGCACACACTGACCCCTATCCCTGGAAGGCACTACCTTCTTAGTGAAATTTCTCTGAATCTTTCTATCTTCCTTCAAAGCTCAGCTCAGGGGCCCAGCCCTCCAGTCGGCTAATAATCAGTGTTCTCTCCCTCCTCAGTTTTTTTCCTACTATGCTAGCTGTATTCATATTGTGTCCCCCCAGTGGAATGTAAGCTCCTTGAGGGCAGGTTTGGCTTCTGCTTCTTCTTCTTCTTCTTCTTCTTCTTCTTCTTCTTCTTCTTCTTCTTCTTCTTCTTCTTCTTCTTTTTTTGTCTTTGCTGTCTCCAGAATCCAGCTCTATCCTTGCATGGACAAGCAGGCACTTAATGCTTGCCCATTTTCTTTTAACTAAATGGAGGGGACGTGATGAAATAAACATTGGGGATAGGCAGATGTAGGTTTCATCTGATCGCGTGCTCACACACACACACACACACACACATCCCCCAAATTTGGGGTTCCTCTGTCCTTTGCCTGATGATACCAGAGGAAGTCTTCATTGCTGAACATGGTGTACAGAGCCCAGACCAAGCTAACCCTAGCTATCCATTGGTTGGCAGGAGCAGACTGGAAGATTGTACCCTCTTAGTCTGTAAAAGGTAGATAGAATCTGTGACCCCTGGGTTTTCTCAAGTTAGGCTCAGCTGGTCAAGCTACCCAGAATTGGGCAAGGGAAGCAAGACCTTGAATGACCCCTGTGGATTAAGCAATGCGTGCCAATTGCCAAACAACGTGGGACCAGACCTCCTCAGTTTAGGATTGGATCCCAAATACAGGGGAAGATATTATTTTATATATTATATTTTACATACAATATATTGTATACATTAAAAACAAGTAATCAAATAAGGCTCATTAATTAAAAGGGACCCATACCACATTAGGTAATCTGATTTCTAATTGAAATAATCACTGTCACTCCTCCAACCCTATAGGCTGTTCCCAGACAACCCCAGAGTGGTGAACTTTGCATCCTGGTTCACTTTTGCCTTTCCCACCGTGATCATCCTACTGCTGCTAACCTGGATATGGCTCCAGATCCTGTTCTTGGGAATTAAGTAAGTTTGGGGACCAGTCCAAAGCCTCTAGAGATACCACCAAAGGGTCTGACCCTCAGGAAACTGACCATCAGGTCAGCGATCAATCGATCAATCAATCAATGAGCATCTATTCATGGCAGGCCTTGTGGTTGATGCTAAGGATACAAAGACCACGGTGAAACTCTCCTGCCCTTTAAGGAGCTTACACTATAGGGGGAGACAGCAGTAACCATTCCTGACATTTGTGTATAGCAACTTCGGATTACTCAAATAGATACAAAGTATTCCACAACCTATTATCTCATTCTCCCCATTTCACAGGCAAGGAAACAGAAGCCCAGAGAGGGGATTTATAGCTTGCCCACAACTAAACAGATCATTTTTGTGGTCAAAGCCAAGACTTCAGGTCCCGGTATGATAGTCAAGCCTGGGGTATGAACCAACATAGAATCACAGGATCTAGAGCCTGGAAGGAGCCATAGAGATCATTCAGTCCAGTCCCTCTCCCATTTTATAGGTGAGAAAACTGAGGCCCTGGATGGGTTAAATAAAAATGACTTGGTAGTAATAAATGGCTAAGCTGAACTTCAAAATCAGGTCCCTCAGTTTCAAATTCCTATTTCTGCTGCCTTTCTACAAAGGGCACAAATGAAGCCTGGGAAAAGCTTCCATCTCCCCCACCTAAAATTGCAATCAGGATGTGAAAGCTGTGGCTGGGCCTCTGGCCCAGCCTTGGAGCCATCCTGGAGACCATTGTCTTTGACCCCCAAGGTGTTCTTAACTCCCCAGCTCATAGAAGCCCTACAACAGATTTAGTTAGCCGGATTCAAAAACCTGCTATACTCTATTATAATTACCCACCCCTTTTCCACTGCCTATCTTCCCCACTTCTTTGAGACTGAGTCTTCCTATCTTACCCAGGCCACTCATGAACCTGAACCCCAGTGCTGGTCAGCAGGGAAGCACTGGCCTCCTCTGCTCTGGACCAAACCACCCCTCCTTAGGCAATCTGCTGGCTCCAGGAGCTCCCCAGGGTTCCTCATGTTAGTGCCAGACTGAGTGTGGTCAGAACCCCTTTAACTCAAGGAATCCACCAGCCTCAGCCTTCCTCAGTACTACGGACTCCATAAATCTGCCCCACCTCACCAGGACTGCCCCTGTTTCTGGGCAGCCATCTTATCCTTGGTTTCTGGGCATTCCAGCATCTATTTCCCTCTGCCCCCTATACTACAGACAAAAGGACCTCTTCTGTCTCTTATTTTTAAAAGCAACTAGGAACATACAAAGTCAGTGTCATACGGTGGAAAGAACACTGGCCTTGGCGTCAGAGGATCTGGGTTCAAATTTTATCTTTATTACTGTTACCTGTGTGATATTAGGCAAGCCACTTAACTACTCTCTGCCTAGGTTCCCTCTTCTGTAAAATGGGTTGAACTAGATGATCTCTAAATCTAAATAGGGTCCTATTAAAGAAGCAGCAACCAATTTTTTATTATAAGGAGTGGGTCTCAGAAAGGGAAAGTAGAGGAGTACAGAGAGTTATTTAGGCAATGTAAAAACAAGAGATATCCACAAAAAGTTATTTTTAAAAAAGAAGTAGTAATAGTAATAACAATAACCAGCATTCATTTGGCACTCTGAGGTTTGCAAAGCACTTCACAAAGATTATCTAATTTTATCCTCACACCAAACCTTATCCTGATTTTATATATGAGGAAACTGAGGCAAGCAAAGCTCAAGTGACTTGCGCAGAATCACGCAGCTAGTAAATGTCTGAGGCTGGATTTGAACCCAGGTCTTCTTGATTCCATATGTAGCCCTGTATCCATTGTATCATCTAGCTACTTATAATACCCTAGGGTAAGATGAATAGAAGAAAATTAAAAATAAAATAATTTATTTTACATAAATATATAATAAGTATGTGGTATAAAATAATAGTTTCTATAAATATATAACAAATATGCTATATAAAATAATAGTCTTCTATAAATATATAATATGCAGTATAAAATAATAATTTGTGAAACATATAATAAATATACAATATAAAATAATGATTTATGTAAATATATAATATAAAGAATAATTTATATAAATATGTGATTAAAGACAATAGGTTTGGATAAATATATAATAAATATGCACCACAAAATAAATGATAACATATAATTATTGCATTATGTATTATTGTATTAAATATCATTATAGACAAAAATAAGCCAAGCCCAGAATGGATGAATTATAACTTCTAAATTTATTTTTGCAGCTGTGGCTCCCCTGCCCTAACTTGGCCCATAGTAATCCTCTCAGAGCTGGAAGGCCCAGCTGTCTCATGACCTCAGACAAAAACAGCATCTTCCATCCCTAAAAATCCCCAGGCCAGTTTTAGGATGCCCACACTGGGCTGTCCATTCTACATTCTGAGTATGGTAGCTCTTCCCATCTTATAATAAATGTTACTATTAATAAAATATAATAAATCATAAAAATAGTCCTCCATTTGGAGCCAGAGGAAGCAGTGTTTGAAACCAGGCCTTGACTTCCTCCCCCTAGAGTCCAGCTCCTGTAAAATGAAAGGGGTGGGTGTTGCTGCTCAGTCATTTCTGACTCTTTGTGACCCCATTTGGGGCTTTCTTGACAGAGATACTGGAGCAGTTTGCCATTTCCTTCTACAACTCATTTTATAGGTGAGGAAACTGAGGTAAACAGAATGAAGTGACTTGCCCAGGGTCACACAGCTAGTAAGTGTCTGAGGCTGTATATAAACTCAGGTCTTCCTGACTCCAGGCCCCACATGCCATGCACTATGGCGCCACCTAGCTGCCCCTGAAGGGACTGGTGGATGATCTCTGAAATTTCCTTCCAGTTCTAACTATAGTTCTAAGATCTTATGAACTTGAGGAGGGAATAGAAGGAATAATCTGAATGAAAGAAAGAAAAAAACAAAGAAGGAATGAAGGGGAGGAAGAAGGAAAGAAAGAAAGAAAGAAGGAAGGGAAAGAGAGAGAGAGAGAGAAAGAGAGAGAGAGAGAGAGAGAGAGAGAGAGAGAGAGAGAAGAAGGAAGGAAGGAAGGAAGGAAGGAAGGAAGGAAGGAAGGAAGGAAGGAAGGAAGGAAGGAAGGAAGGAAAGAAGGAAGGAAGGAAGGAAGGAAGGAAGGAAGGAAGGAAGGAAGGAAGGAAGGAAGGAAGGAGAGAGAAAGGAAGAAAGGAAAGAAAGAAAGAAAGAAAGAAAGAAAGAAAGAAAGAAAGAAAGAAAGAAAGAAAGAAAGAAAGGAAGGAAGGAAGGAAGGAAGGAAGGAAGGAAGGAAAAGAAGAAAGGGAAGGAAGAAGGAAAAAAAGAATGAAGGAAGGAAGGAAAGAAAAAGGAAGGAAGAGAGGGTGGGAAAAAGAGAAGGAAGGAAAAAAGAAAGGAAGAAAGAAAAAGAAAGAAAGAGGGAGGGAGACTTTAAAAGTCTCCAAAGATGAGTCCATTCATCAAAAGGCCTTCCTTCTTTCTCTTCCCCTTGTAACCTCCTCAAGGCCTGCCTTCTACTCTTAGGGACAAGCTCACTTTACATTGTGATCTTAGTGAAAAGAGTATTTAATTTGGAGTGAGAGATCTTGAATTCAAATCCTGACCATGCTCCTTGCTAGCGGTGTGATGTTGGACAAGTCATCTCCTTTCCCAGGGCCTCAGTTCCCGCCTAACAAAGCGGTTGCCACAGATGTTATAGAACTATCCACCTTTGAATCCTATGACCTTTCTTCCAGACAATAGTAGTTCCTGACCTGGGTCCATGAACTTTTTTTAAAAATAGATTTTGGTAATGATATTAACAGTTTCCTTTGTAATCCTGTGCATTTGTAGTGAAATCCTAGTAAAACTACATAATTTGATAAACAGTATAATTGACTTCCTTTGTAGATTTTATGCATTTTATTTCATTCATTTAAAAACATGATTCTGAGAAGGGGGCCATAGGCTTCACCAGGACAGCCCAGGACATCCAGGATGCAAAAAAACTGTTGACTCTCTTTAAGAAGGAGAAAACATTGGGAGACAAGCCAAATGGTTTGCTGTGTGACCTTGGGGGAGTCATTTCCCTGCTTTGGCTTTGGTCTATGAAATGAGAACATTAACAACATAAGCCCAGTCTTGCTCTCAGAGAAGTTCTAATTGAGGACACGTGAATATGAATATGTCCCTTTGTCTGTAGCTTCTGGAAGAACTTTAGCTGGGGAGAGAAGGCTCATAAACAGGAGCAAGCAGCTTACCAAGTCATCAAGGTGGAACAGAAGAAGCTGGGCCCCATGAGCTTTGCTGAGAAAGCCATCATCTTCCTGTTCCTCCTCCTGGTGGTGCTATGGTTCACCCGAGAGCCAGGCTTCTTCCCTGGTTGGGGCAATGTGGCCTTTCCTAACCACAGTGGAGAAAGGTGAGACATGGGCAAGGAGGCCTCATGCTTGGGGGTGAGGAAAGGGGATGATGAAGGGCCTTGAGGAAGACAACAGACAGGATCAGTCCCAAGAGCGAGCAGGCACTTTCCACCAAGAGGCAACCCAATGGGCATCCTCCTGCTGTAGGGAAGGGAGGAGGCATGTTAGACATGGGAAGGAACTTCCCAGAAGTGGTGGTCATGGAAGTCAAAGAAGCCTTCAGAGACAGAGAACCCGATGGGGAGATCCCAGAGACAGAGCTGAAGAGGACTTCGTATACCTTCTAGTGCGGGGGCTCTTAATCTGGGATCCGTGAACTTGGTCGTCTTCTTAATAGTTGGGGGTTTTTCTTAATACTTGGTTTTTAATAATTTAACATTAATACTTAATGCTTGGGTTTTTTCTTAGGATTTTGATAACTGTATTTCAATATACTTGGTTTCCTTTGTATTTTATATGCTTTAAAATATAAAGAGGGGTCCATAGGCTTCCCTAGATGAGTTCCCAATGCAAAAAAAAGCCTTATGGGATGGGAGGGAAGAGATGGAGGTGGGCGTAGAGGTGTCAGGGGTGAGGGGCTGGAGGAGGGATGAATTAGGAGGTGGGGGCAGAGAAGTTCAATTTGTCTTGATTTAATAAACATTTGTGAAAAGCCTACTGTGTCCATGAAGACAAAGCCAAGACAGTCCCTGCCCCCTAGGAGCTTACATTTCACTGGGAGGGTACAACACAAGAATAAATACAAGGTAATTTGAAGAGGGAAGAGCGCTCTAATAATTATAATAGCCAACATTTATATAGTGCTTTTAAAATTCTTATGGCCTTTTATCTCATTGGCTAAAAGAATAACAATTTAGAGACATCAGTCAAGATACCTTCGCTGTACCTTTAAAGAAACAAGAAATTCCTAGAGAAGGAGATGAGAAAGGAGTGGATCCCAGGTTCAGGGGGCAGCCTCTACAAAAACAGAAGTAGGAGATGAGACACCCAGTTCTGGGGAAAGCAAGGAGGTCAGTTTGGTTGTAATATACAGTACATGAAGAAGAGGAATGGAAGATAACCCTGGAAAGGTACTGAGGGACAGGCTGTTGAGATGGCCAGCTCAAGAAGGGGAAATATTTTCACATTCTCTCTGGTTCAGCTCAGGCAAATTCTTGGACCCAGTCAGATCCCACCATCTGTAGGAGGCCTTTCTCAATGTCCCCTCTACTACCTCCACAATCCCACTGCTAATGCCTTCATGTGTGTGTGTGTGTATATGTGTGTATACACATATGTGTACACATATGTATGTATGCGTGTATACATACAGTAGAATCTGGGACCCACTCCTTTCTCAGCTGCTTCTCTAGGAATTTCCTGTATATGCCTTCTGTATGTAGGCTTGTTTGCAGGTCCCATTAGACTGAGCCTCTTGAGGGCAGGCACCATATTTTTGCCATGTTTTGTATGTTCAGTACTTACCACCCCATCTGCATGTAATAGCTGCTTAATAAATGTTTGTTGACTGCCAGTCAGATACCAAGGGGTGGCTATCAACTGCTACAGCACACCAGGGAGGGATAATAAAGGAGGAGACAGGTCCAGCATCAGGGAGCCAGAGGGGCTTACAGAAAACCGCGGGTGCAGAACAGCAGATGAACAGGTGAGAATGAATGTCCTGCCAGCTACAGCCCCAGCTTCCGAGAAGGCCTGAGTAACAGAGACCTTGTGGTGGGCCTCAAGCCAGGAAGGCTCCCTGGAGGGGGCAAAGCTTCGACTGGATCAATCAGTTGACTGAGTCAGTGAATCAGTCACTCATCCTGACAGAGAATCAGGATCTCACATGTCTAAAGCCATTTAAATTTTACAAAGTGCTTGGCCTCTCAATGCCTTCCCAATATAGATAAGGCAAACATTGTTAGCCGCCTTTTGCAGATGAGGAAACTGAGGCTCAGAAAGAGGTTAAGCAACTTGCCTGTGGCCACACAGTTAGTAAATGTTGACTTCTCTCAAACCTTTTGGCTCGAGGTCTAAACTTTAATACACCACATTACAGTGTATTACACTAGCCTCCTAGGCAATAGGAAGGTTGCCCAGGTACCGGGTATGGTGCCTGCCTTCATTGAGCTCACAGTCTAGCTGTGGAGATAAGGAGGTGCATGTTTACTATGCACAGTAAGCACTAGAGGAATTTGGAGCAGAGGAAGCCAGGTGCAAGCTGTGAAAACATAATGTATGCATATGAGACTTGACCTGAGCCTGAGAGGGATGGCTTGGATGGAGAGAAGGAGGAGAGGCCAGAGCCCAACTCCTCTGACACCCTTCTCCACAGGGCCTCCTAACTGCCCTCCTGCCCCAAGCCTTTGCACTCATTGCTTCCCCACTGCCCTTTGCAGTATGGTCTCAGACGGCACCGTGGCCTTCTTCATCGGCATCATCTTGTTTATCGTACCCTCTGAGCTCCCCAGCTTCTCCCAGCAGCAGGGTAAGCATTTGGTGGTGGAGGAGGGAGGAAGAAAAGGGGATGGTGGAGAAGAAGTGGGGCAGAAATCAGAAGGAAGGGCCCTCCAAATCATCTGATCTGCATCAGATCTCCCTCCCACCTTTGGGTGGGTAAGGTCTTCATTTTACAGAAGAGGTAAACAAAGGCCCAGAAAAGTGATGGGTGGGTGGGCACTAGAACTGAGCCTTCTAGATCCCAGCTCAGTGCTCCTTTTTCCACTCCACTACAATGAAAGGAGTGAAGCTCTGGTGCCCTTCCCAATCCCTGGGCAGAGAGGAGAAAACAGGATTAGGGGAGACGGGAACGTGTCATCTGGGGCTTTTTCAATGACCCAGCTCCTCTCCTTGGGACCAGGCACCCAGGGGAAGTTCAAGGCCCCAGTCGCCCTCCTCAACTGGAATATCGTGAATAAGAAAATGCCCTGGAATGTTTTCTTCCTGCTGGGTGGAGGCTTTGCCCTGGCCAAGGGCAGTGAGGTAGGCACCCCCACCCCTGCCCCCGTCAGCTCCCTAACGAACTTCTGTTCAAAAGTTAGAAGTTTTGAGGGGAAGATGAAAAGAAGTAATTTGATTATAGCCTACAATGATATATATCGTATATGTTATATACATGTTACATGTGCGTGTGTGTATTGTATGTGTGAGTACATTATACATATGTGTGTGTACGGGATGTCCACACTTGTGATTTCATTAGTGTAATTTATATTAAGGCAGCTAGGTGGCGCAGTGGAGCTGGTCCCCAATGTCAGAAAGGCTCCTCTTTCTGAGTTCCAATCTGGCCTCAGATACTTACTAACTGTGTGGGGCACAACTGGGCAAGTCACTTAACCTGCTTACCTCAGTTTCCTCCTCTGTAAAGGAGAAGGAAATGGCAAAACCACGCCGGTATCTTTGCTAAGAAAACCCCAAAAGGGGGCATGACAGGTTGGATGCAATAAAACAACAGCAACAATGACTTTTTGCCTCTAGTACGCTCCTTCCTCACCTGCTCTTCATAAAATCCCTCTCGGGTTGGTTCGGTGTCCCAGTGGATAGAAGCCTGGGCCTAGACTTGAGTTCAAATCCAGCCCCAGACATTTACTAGCTGTGTGACCCTGGTCAAGTCATTTAATCCTGTTTGCCTCCGTTTCTTCCTCTGTCAAATGATTTGGAAAGGGAAATGAAAAACCACTCCAGTGTCTCTGCCAAGAAAACCCCAAACAGGGTCACACAGCTGAACAGCAAGAAGCATTTCCATAGCCATTTAAGGTTTGAAAAAGCATTTTTATACGTGGTACCTCATTTGGCCCTCACAACAACCCTAGAAAGTAGGCGCTATTATTATTCTCATTTGACAGATGAGGAAACTGAGGCACACAAAGTGACTTACCCAGGGTCACCTAGATAGTAGGTGTCTGAGACAGAATTGGAACTCAGTTCTTCCTGACTGACCCCAAGTGCTGTACTCTATCCAGTGCACCATCCAGCTGCCTCCAGGAAAAGAAGGCATGAGCTTGTTCTCTAGAATCAGAAGGTCGGGTTCAGGGACCTCTTGCTCAGCTTAATCCAATAATTCTGAAATGATACTCTTCCCCCCAATCCCACCCAACTCGCTGACCCAGCTGAGAGGATTGCTTTCTTGTGAAGCTGCAGCAGCCACATTGCCTGCTGCGGCCACGAGGGGGCGACAAAATCACACTCAGCTTGCACCAGTCCTCCATGGCCCTGGGCTCTGATCCCACAGTCCCCTACAGCCCCTCAAGGGATCGCCTGAGCCAGCTGGCTCCCTGATTCAGCCTCCCCCCCAAGCCCAGAGCTCCTTGTCCGTCCCACCATGGACCAGGAAAAAGGGGGCTTCCTCAGAGAGCACATGCCTAGGACCTTAGACAGCAGCCAGTCCCCACCACCCTCCTCATTGTACAGTGGGGGATCCTGTGTGCTTGATGGGAGAAGGGTGGCATTTTGAGGCACGGACTCAACTTTCAATGGTCCCAGCAATGCTTTTCTCTCTGAGTCCTAGGGGCAGGGAGATGGCTAGAACAGGTTCTGGGGGCAGGGGGCTGAGGGGAGATGACAAGGATAGATAGAGAAGGTCTCCCTGCAGTATGGGGTCCTATCCCTTCCTGCCTAAGAGACCAGCTCATACAGCACTTCCTCCCCTTTCCCCAAAGCTCATCCCCTAATGCTCCATGGGCAAACCATGTGCCCAAAGACAAAGGGAAGCTGGAGGGAAGGCAGGAGTCGCTACTAGCACAAGGATGATGACAATGGGGAGTGGGGGGACAACCAGATGATCCCCCTTTTAAAGGATTATCTTTTTCCCATCTCTTCCCCCCTTACCACTGCCATTTTGTTTCTGCATTAAAATGTTTTCCATTGTCCTAAGAAGTCTTTCCAGAAATATGGAGCCAGGGGATCTTACCTCCAATAATATTTTGGTCTTCCCCATCCCAATTGCTCCTAGGTCAAGGAAGGATCAGGGAGAAAGGAGGGACCTGGAATCCTGGTCTGTTCCCTCTTCTTACTCAAGCCACTGGGCCTGACCTCCTGACCTGCCAAAATTCAAGCAAGATTCCCATTGCCTACTTTTCTTGGGGGGGAAAAAAACCAACAGGGAAAGGGAATAAGGCTTTGTTATGCCAAAGCTCAGAGAGACAAAGCAATTTTGTCAAGGGTACACAGCATCTTGGCCCACCCCAGGGCTCCTGAATGAGGTGACCACATTCTCCTAGTTCCTCCGGTCAGTGCCACATCTCTTCCTATTCCTTACTCCCCATAGGTATCAGGCCTGTCCCCAGTGGCTGGGAAACAAGCTGACTCCTCTTCAAAGCATCCCTTCTCCGGCCATTGCCCTCATCCTTTCTCTCCTTGTGGCTGCCTTCACCGAATGCACCAGCAATGTGGCCACCACCACCCTCTTTCTGCCCATCCTTGCTTCCATGGTAAGATCCCCTTCGCCCCCATACCTCTTCCTAGGCTGCCTTTTAGAAGCCCCTCTTCCCTCACGTCCCCTCACCCCAGGCCAGCCTGGATCTCTGAGTTTCTGCACTGAGGGCAGGACGCTGCCACATATTCAGTTTATGGGAGAGTGGAGAATTCCCAGTCTCCTTGAGCCGCCAGGCCCCGGTGACCTCTGGATGCCTGGCTCTTTGGCCCCTGACTCACCTCCACCCCCTACCCTGTCCTGGCTGACGTCACCAGATGAGAATCTAGTGGGTTGTTCTGTCATCCCCCCCTCCCAACCCCTCCCAATATGAGTCTTGGTCACCCCCAAAGTGACCAGGTGAGATTTCTCACCAGGGGCGTCCCTGGGCCCCAGCCCTTTCAGGGAGCGTTCCCACAGCCCTTTGATGGAATCCCTGTGGTCCCTTTGAGATTGGTTTTATGGGCCCCTCCCCTCTCCACACCTGAAGGGCAGGTCAGCATAGTCATCCTCTTGAGGAGATCTAAGGCCTGGAGAGACGAAGGGCCCCTCTTAAGTGGGGAGCAAGCCCCAGAGCCCTCCTGAGAGCTTCGGCCCTGACCCAAGGGGCTCTGCCCACATGGGCAGAGAACATGGGGCCAAAGCTGGTCCCACCCCCACCTTGCTCTGGCGCTTTCGAGGACTCCCCATCAGTCTCCTCTCTCATCCACGAAACCATGGGATGGGAGCAGGTGGTATGGACAGGCCTCTTTCCCCTCCCCTGCCCCCTCCCTCCCCACCTTACCTTTGTGAGGTTGAGGCTCAGATTCTTCTGTTTCTCCCTGCCCATTCTCTGGCTGTTCTGACATCACCTCCCCTTTGTCTTCCCTGGTAGGCCCAGGCCATCTGCCTCAACCCACTCTATGTTATGCTCCCCTGTACCATGGCATCCTCTCTAGCCTTCATGCTTCCTGTGGCCACCCCGCCTAATGCCATTGTCTTCTCCTTTGGGAAGCTCAAAGTGTGTGACATGGTGAGTGGGGCAGGAGAAACCAGGGTGGGAGCAGCTGCCCTCTCCTACACACATACACACACACACACACACACACACACCTCTCTCTCTCTCTCTCTCTCTCTCTCTCTCTCTCTCTCTCTCTCTCTCTCTCTCTTCCATTCTCTCTCTTCCTCCACCCTACTCCATGAGAATAGACTAGAGCTAGTAGTGGAGGAAAGAGGTTGAAACAGAGGGTCCTAGTAGACCACAAGCTAGATACACGACTGGGCTCAAATGCTCTTCTATATGATGCTTTTCCCTTCCCCTCTTCCACCTACTTTTTGTCTGTATCAATTCATGTACACATTATCTCCCCCATCAGAATGCAAACTACTTGGAGGGGGTGCTATTTTTGCCTTTCTTTATCTCCCCAGTTTTTAACAGGACACCTGGTAACATACATTTAATAAGCCTTTGTTGATTGATAAAAGACATGAAAGATCCCCTTCTCAGGGTCCAGATTAAAATGCTAGGGAAGGGGGGGCAGGACAAAGAATACCTCAGTAGGGGAGAGGAAGGGAGTTCACTTTCCTCCCCTCTCCAAAAAGTACAGCGCAGAACAGTTCAAAGAGTGCTGACCTGGCTGGGGGTTCAAATCCCACCTCTGACACTCTCTCTATGCGACCTTGGTGGTCAACACATTTCACCTCCTTCAGGCTTAGTTTCTTCATCTGCAAAATGAGAGGATTGGGCTAGATGGCTTCTGTGGTCTCTTCTAGCTTTCCCTTTCCTTGTGTCTGCAGAATGTAGTTCCTTGAGGGGAGACTGCTTTGAATCCCCTAGCACCTAGCACTGTGCCTTGCTTATCATAGACACTTAGACATTTAATAAGTCTTTGTGAGATGGGATGAGAAGAGATGAGATGGGATGGGATGGGATGGGATGGGATGGGATGGGATGGGATGGGATGGGATGGGAATAGAAAAGAAGAGGTGGGATGGGATTGGATGGAAAGAAAAGAGATGAGAGAAGATAGGATAGAATGGGATGGGATGGGATGGGATGAGATGAGATGGGATGGGATGGGATTGGGATGGGATGAGATGGGATGGGATGGGATGGGATGGGATGGGATGGGAATAGAAAAGAAGAGGTGGGATGGGATTGGATGGAAAGAAAAGAGATGAGAGAAAATAGGATAGAATGGGATGGGATGGGATGGGATGGGATGGGATGGGATTGGGATGGGATGAGATGGGATGGGAATAGAAAAGAAGAGGTGGGATGGGATTGGATGGAAAGAAAAGAGATGAGAGAAGATAGGATAGAATGGGATGGGATGAGATGGGATGGGAATAGAAAAGAAGAGGTGGGATGGGATTGGATGGAAAGAAAAGAGATGAGAGAAGATAGGATAGAATGGGATGGGATGAGATGGGATGGGATGGGATGGGATGGGATGGGATGGGATGGGATGGGATGGGATGGGATGGGATGGGATGGGATGGAATGAAGAGAAGAAAAGAAATAGGATGAGATGGGATAGGATCCCATAGGAAAGGATTCTACAAAGTATCTAACTACTATCCTGGGCCCATTCCCAGGCAGGGCAGTACTTTTGTTTCTCTCCAGACCATGATTAAAAATCCCTGCCTCTGGATCCATCTTGACTATCTTGACTTTGAGATGCATCTGGGGTACTTGGAAAGGGTTCAGAGGAAATATATAGATGTAGATGGGGATATAGACTACCATCCCCAATGAAAAAGTCAAATCATTGGGATTACTTATCCCAAGGAAGAGAAGGCTGAGGAAAAGACTGAATGGTCTTACCAGGAAGGCAGACACTGGTTCTTGGACTTCCTAACCCATGTAGTGGACAGAGTCCTGGATTTGGAGTCGAGAAGTTAGAGGTCTTCCTCAGATACTTACTGGCTGTGTGTGACTCTGAGCAAGTCATTTAACTTATCTTAGCCTCTGTTTCCTCACCTGTAAATTGGGTATAATAATAACACTTACTTCACCCCACTGGGTTGTTGTGAGGCTCAAATGAGATAGCACACTTTGGAAAGCATAAAAGTGTTGTTGTATAAAGGTTAGTTATTAGCTATTTAGTTGTGGGGTTACCCTGGAACAGTTTTCCAACAGGACCTTCCTGAGGGAGGCAGAGGCATGTCCCTTCCAGAGCCACTGAAACAGATCCTAAGCAACTTCTCCCACAGAGGCACATGTCCAGGTGTTATTCAGGGAAGACTCTGCCCCTCTTTTCTGTAGAGGAACAGCAGCAGCTGCCTACCCTGCAGCCCAGCTGCATTTTCATTCCTGACATTCCATTCCTCCCCTGGACTTGAAGTGAGGAGGACCTGAATTCAAATCCTGCCTCAGACACCTATTGCTTTCCAAACCCAAGACAAATCATTTAATATCTCTGTACCTCAGTTTCTGCATGTCTAAAATGGAGTAGGGAGTGGTCCCTCAGGAAGGAAACAAGCGTGTGTTAAGTGCCTTCTGTGTGCCTGGCACTGTGCTAAGTACCGGATAAATATTATTTCATTTGATCTTCACAACAACCCTAGTAGGGAGGTCTCATTTTTATTCCTGTTTTACAGTTGAGGAAAGTAAAGCAGACAGACATCAAGCAACTTGCTAATTAATCAGCTAGTGAGTGTCTGGAGTTGAACTTGAATTTAGGTCTTCCTGACTCCTAGCCCAGGGCTCTATCTGTTGTTTTGCAGTCTTGTCCAACTCTTTGTGACCCCACTGGGGGTTTTCTTGGCAGATACTGGAGTGGTTCATAATTTCCTTCTTCAGCTCATTTTACAGATGAGGAAACTGAGGCAAACAGGGTGAAGTGACTTGCCCAAAAGGATGAGTCTTCCTGACTCCAAGCTTGGCACTCTATCCACTGTGCCATCTAGCTTCCCCAAGGCTCTATTTACTGCTGTTCTAAGGTCCTTTCCAATTCTAAATCTGTGATTCTCTGATCCCACCTCCCCTCCCCCCCTTCAATCAATCAGTCAACAAGTTAGGGAGCTAAGCCCTAGGGATACCAAGAAAAGCAAAGACACTCCCTGCCCTCAGGGACTTTACATTCTAACATAATTCTAATAGGAATGAGAATCCCACTCAGCCACTCACGGAGCCCTGCTTTCTCTCTCCCATTCCCCAGGCCAAAGCCGGATTCCTTCTCAATATCCTTGGCCTGCTGACCATCGCACTGGCCATCAATACGTGGGCCTTTCCCATCTTTCAACTACACCAATTCCCTGACTGGGCCCAGTCCAACATCACTACCTCTTGCAAAGTCAACACAAGCTTTGTCAACCCTTAACCTCCCTGGGGAGGGAGTCTGCTCAGAGAGAAACCAGTGATGCTCACTGAACCCATATTCCCAGGCCTTTCAACCTAGGAGTCTGGTCAGAGCTGGGGATGGTGAAGAGGTACTCCCAGCATTGATGTGTATGGGCACATATGTACATATGAGTGTGTTCGTGTTACATAACATGTATGTATATCAGAGGGCACATATGTTCACGCGACATGGTGTGTTTGCATGGCACACCTGTATGTGTGTTTGTCTGTCTGTTTGATAGCCAAATGAGGGTGTTTGGTGCCAACCTTTCGTTTGGTTTCTCAAAAGACATGGCTGCAAGCCCCTTTTGATTATATTTATTGAGACTCTGAGGAGAGTCGGGTTGGGAGGACCTGAGTGACTTGAGTTTCAGCCCCTCTGCAAGGAGTTTAGCAATTCCAGGACCTGGCTGGACAACTCCTCTCTTGAAGAGTCTGGGGGTGGGGTGGGAGAGAAGGGACAGAGGATTTGCCTCATTAAAGACTTTTCGGTATTGTAGACTCTGCACTCATTTAAGGGACTACCCCAACATCTCTCTCTGAACAAGTGAGCCTGCAGGGTGGCCCCAGAGTTGGGAGGGCCCGGGCAGCCGTAGGGGTTGGGGTAGGGGGAGAGAATGCCTTGTCCTGAGGTTAGAGAGCCCTTGATCTAGTCCGGAGTCCTCTCTAGGGGATCAGCAGAGGTCACTGGCTCACAAGTCAGAGGACCCAGGTTCATATCTTGCCTTCACCATTTAATCCCTGGGGCGATTTGGGCAAATCACAGCTTCTCTCTGTGTCAGTTTACTCCCAGACAGCCCTTGAGGAACCTTAATTTCTTTGACCTCACTTTTTTTAATCTGAGGAGAATGGACTTGATGACTTCCCAAGGTCCTTCTAGATCTACAAATCTATCCCAGAACTTGGGGCTAGAGGGGAGAGATAAGAGCTGGAGGAGAGAAAGAGTGGAGGGGAAGGAGCTGCTTCTGCTGTGCTTGTTCTCAGGCTTTGGGGCTGAAAGGGTCCTTAGAAGTCACCTAGCCCAACTACAGATGAGGAAACTGAGGCTCAGAGAGAAATAGCTTGCCCAGCCTCACACAGCTAGTCAATGGTCAAAGTAGGATTCAAACCAAGGTCCTCTAACTCCAAACTTAGCCCTTTTCCCACAGCACCAAGATTCAGGGAATCAGTTCAGCCTCACCACAAGTCCCCCACCCTCCTAGGCAGCTGCCCCGGGGAAAGATGACCCAAGGGAAGCCCGGGGACAGGGGGAGGACTCACTCGCCCTTAGCAAACTTGTCCCATTGGGGGTGGGGGAGATCAGAGCATCAGGTCTGAGCCCTTGGACACCAGTTGGCCCAAAACTGTTGGGGGGTGTGGCCCCTCCCCCTGCCCCCATGCCAGCCTCTCCCCCTGGCATCCATAACACAGAGAGAAGGTAAGGCCTGGCACTGTTGCCAGGGCCAACTAGAGTAGGCGCAGCCACCCAAGAAAAGCAAGGCTGACATCACCACAGCCGGGCTAATTGGAAGCTGCCGGTCCCTGCCTGTCTTTGGGAAAACCAGCCTACCCCTTCCCAGAGCACTCCCTCACCATTTACATAAAACCCGCCATCCCTGCCAACTCCAGCGAGCACCGTCATCCGGACCCTTTCTCAGGCTGGTAAAACCGGTCCTGGGCAGGGAGGGGAGGTAGTGCCACCCAAAGGAAGGGGCATGATGGTTTTCGAGGCAGACCCTTTCCTGCTTCCCTGCACAGGAACAGGAGAAGGAAGGAGAGAAGTTAGAGAAAACATGTTGTCAGACCCTTTGGGGTTTGCCAAGGACTTCCCTAAAGTAGCCTGTGCTCTGAATTATGCCCATTTTACAGAAGAGAAAACTGAAGTTTGGCCTAGACTCAGAGATTTTAGAACCAGAAAAAATACTTAGCATCTATCTGATCCACCCATATCCTCCCCATTTTTACAGATGAGGAAACTAAGGTACAGAGAGAATTGAACCTGGGTTGCTATAGTCCAGACTTGAAGCATCAAAACAGAAAGAGCACTGACTCTAGACTTCAAATTCCATCTTTGTGACCTTGAGATGTTACTTCACCTGCCCAAGCCTCAGGTTCATCCTGTATAAAATTAGAGGATTGCCCTCTGAAGTCCCTTCCATCCCTAGATCACTGAGCCTATAAAAATGTCTCAGAACAGAGCCCGAGGCCAGGCAGCTGTTACACATAATCCCTTCTCCCCTGATTCCTTCCCTCTTATCATCTGTTACTCTTACTATCTGTTACGTCTCTCACCAATCGGAGGTCCATTCTTACATCTGCCTTATTGGTCACTTGCTGTATTTCTCTGGCCAACATCATTTTTAAGCATACTCCTCCCTTTTTAGGAGCCTCCAAAGCAACTGTCCATCCCGATTGCCCTGCCTGATGCTCACTAAGTGTGATAGGGTGAGGAAGGGGGACAGGGATGAACAGGAAAGCAAGTGAGACCCCAGATCCCTTGCAGCAACCTGGGAAATCCTTCGCACCAGACTCCTATGCCTTAGCATAGAATAGCACAATTTAATCACCTCCAGCAGAAGCTGGGCAAGGAGGGTGTGTGTCTGATGGGGACTGGACGGAGGGGGAGAGACGGGCCTGGGGGAGGAGAAGACAGAGGAGGTGAGAAGGGAGCGGGCTGCTGAGATGGGGAGAATGCAGCTGTCCCCTGAGGGTGAAAGGGGGGCATCCTGACAGTACTTGCCACAAGATTCCCAGAGAAGTGAGTTCTCTGGAGCCAGCTGTCATTGGTCCCTGGGGGCTGGCATTCCTCACCCATGAAGTACAGGGATATAAATCACTTCCCCCACCTCCACCTCAGAGACACAGCCACACCTGGGAACCCTACCCCCTTAGGAGACAGCCCCCATACTATGGATAGGGTATCCCCACCCTCACTCTTCTTTCCCAGGTTTGGGTTCTCCATTTTCACACAACCCCCCTCCCTTATCATCACCACTATGCCCAAAAGGAACACTTCCCATAACCTCGCAGTATCATGGGCTCACCCCATTCTTGGGGTCTCAGCCCCCAAGCTCTAAGCCTAACATATACCCATGGTCGAAAAAACAAAGCGCCTCCCTTGATCTCCCCCAAATTAGGTTAAAAACAGTTCATCTAGCATTAGACAAGTTTTTAAAAAGTGGTTCCACTTTAAATATGGGTACTCCCAATCCCTGCCCACTGTCCCCAGTCCCTCTAAGGAGTCAGTCCCAGAAAGAAGACAAAGCCACTCTTCTCTGAGGGGGTCAGCCCACTTTTTCCGTGGAGCTCCAGTATCTCTCCCAAGGCAGGCATGAGAAAGAGGATGGGAGGGGGGAATCCAAGAAAACACCCAGATAATGGCACACAACAAGCACCTGGGGGAACAGAGGCTTGTTCCCTGCATCCTGCCAGTATGGGAGTGGGGGAGGGAAGTGGACACCAACCTAGGACCTCCAGCTCTTCCCTTCCTCCATTGTTGGGAGATCTGCAGATATGGTAGGAACAGCCAGCCCTGGCTTGGTTCAGAGTGGCTGGACCTGGGGGTTCTCTTGAGTTCAAGTTGCCAGGCCTATGTGCTCTCTTGGGCTCAGATTGCCAGGCCTCACCCAGCCATTCAGAAAACAGCATTCTCAGCAGCACCTGCTGGGCTAATCACCATCATTAGTCCAGCAATAAAGCGGGCACCAAGACCAGAGAGCCTTTGAAGGGCCTGTCTGCCTCCAGCTAGACTTGTACTGACATCCCCCTCCCATCTAGGACCGTGACAGGTGGATAGAGCCTGGTAAGGAGGCCAGCAAGCAGGAGAGCAGCCCCTTCCCCCATTTCCTGCTAAGATTTTGGAGGGACTTAAGCAATAATCTCAGTGCAGAAGGAATTTATGGGTAAATAGTAGACACTTAATAATTGTTTATTGACTGACTGACTGATTGACCAACTAACCTTGAGCTGTCTAACAACTGAACTGGTTGCCTGGAAGTGTTCAAATAGAAGACGGAAGACAACAGTATAAAGATTCCTGTTTTGGATGAGAAGTTGCATTAGCACATCTCTAAGGTCTCTATGCTTTATCTAGTATGCTAGGGGAACCCAAGAAAGCATCCTGCATTCTCTAGTCCCCATTGCCCCACATCGTAGAATCCCTAGGGGTTCACTGGTTCCTTGCCCTCTCCCCCCTGAGACTATCTCTGGGAGCTTACATCTTCCAAGCGAGATGCATCAATGAAAACTCCACATCTCCCTCTACTCTCCCCCCCCCCACCCCGAAAGTCCATCCTTGGACCTGCCTCAGCCCCAGGGTGGGGGGGAGGGGCAGGGAAAGGGAGGGAGAAGAAAAGTGCCAAGTGGTGCCTAAGCCAAGTGCCTCGCCTGGGCCCAGTCATGGAGAAGGAGGAGCTGGGAGGGGGGGACCCTTGGGCCCAGGTCGGGGGGAGAGAGGGAGGGCAGTTGGCTCCCCCTCCTCTCTCACTCCCATGATTCACCCCTTAAGCAAATGCCTGAGCTTCCAACTCCCTCTGGTCTTCCCTTCCATCAGCAAGACTTGTGACACCCAAATTTGGGGCATAACAGGGGACTTCTCCCTCAAGCCAACTAGCGTCTCAATAAGGGTGGAAATCAGGCATTTGTGTGACACCTACTGCATACCAGGTACTGTGCTAAGCCCTTTTTACAGATACCATCTCATTTGATCCTCACATCAACCCAGTAAGGTAGGTGCAGTTCTTATCCCCATTTTACAGATGAAAAAAATGAGGCAAAGTTTAAATGACTGTCTCAGGGTCACACAGCTAGTAAGTGTTGAGGCTGGATTTGCTGAGGTCTCCCAGACTATAACCTCAGTCCTCCATCCACTGTACTACCCAGTTGCCTCCCAAGGAAGAAACTTTCCAAACTAATCAGGGCCAGGCAACATCCCTCCCCATCTGACACTCTGCTTCACCCCATTCCTTCCCTTCCTTACACGTCACTATCTTTGAGCATCCTTCACCATCTGGAAAGTTGGTGAGGTAGAAGGAATGATGAGTTTAAAGTCATAGGATGGAGACTTAAATCCCAGCTCTTCAATTGGTATTCTTTGTATGGCCTCTGGGAAATCACATTACTTCTCTGGGCCTCAGTTTCCTCATTTATAAAAAGAGGGGGTTGAGTAATGTTGAGTATTGTTCAGTCGAGTCCGACTCTCTGTGACTGCACTGTGGGTTTTCTTGGCAAAAGTGTTGGAGTAGTTTGCCTTTTACTTCTCCAGCTCATTTGACAGATGAGGAAACTGAGGCGAACAGAGTGAAGTGACTTGTCCAGGGTCACCCAGCTAGTAAGTGTCTGAAGACAGATTTGAAATCAGGAAGATGAGTTTTTCTATCACTCTCTAAACATTCTCTATCCACTTTGCCATTCAGCTGCCCAAGGTTGAACAATATGGCTTCTGAAGGCTTTTCCACTGCTAAATCAATGATCCAATGATATATTTCAATTCCCTCATTTAATTAAAAAAAAATTTATTCCAAACTTAAATGCCAAATA